TATACCTCACGCGCTTGTGAATTGGTTATCCTCTTCAGTGTACCGTGGGCGCTGCTCCACTGGATTATTTTCCCTCGTCGCCGGCAACTTTCCGGTCGCCGGAAAATCGCCGAAAAATTTCCATAAATTAATTAAAAAATTCCAGAAATTAAATTAGGCCTTAAAAAATTCCAGAAAAATTCCGAAAAATTTCTAAAAAATCCCAAAAAATTCCTGAAGCCTAATTTGACCATCTTGGACCATCTTGAAGCTGCATAGCACCCTTTGATGAATATTACATGGCTTTAAATAAATTTACAATTTGAAATACAATGAAAAAAATTAAATTACATCATTGAACTTTCAAACGGCTAAATCAAAACCTTAATTACATTCATCCAAAGATAAAATTACATTCAATTATCCTATAAGCTTCATCCATGGCCCAAACACACATCATCATCCATTCACAATTATACATACATCATTATATATCAATATATTAATTCATACATCAACATACATTAATAAATAAATATATATGCATATCAAAATTGGATCCATGAATGATGAGTTTTGACAAAAACATGATCTCTAGTAATGAATCAAACCATGCTCTGATACCACTATTAGGAAACGTGCTAGTTTTAAAAACTTTTTGAGGGATTTTGATTCATAGATCTTGATTCATCACATAGAGACAAGTTTTATGCAAAAATAAAATATGATGTATCATTCAATTAATGGATTGAATACTTATATCAAAGGTCTGAGTAAACCTTTAAATCTTTCCTCTAAAGTGAATGTTCTCACTTATTGTAAATCCCTTAGCAAGATGCCTTCTCCTTGGATCCTCATCCTCTTGGTAATTGTTTTGCCTTTAGGAATCACTCATATGCCTCCATGAATGACCTTGGAAAATTAGGCTTGTGGGAGCCTCCATTAGATGAGAACACTAACCCTAATTTTCTAGAGAGAGAAAATTTATTCCTTTTTCCTTCTCATAAAAATCATCACCCAAAATATATATAGACCATGTATATTTATAGGCAACATAAAGGTAAAGAAAATGAAACAACGAATCCTTCTCAATCTCTAATTTACATGTCTCAAATCTAATATGATTCCAATATCAAGTTGGGTTATGAGTGAGAATCCATTGGGCCTATTATTTTATTGGCTACAATGAATTAATAATTAGCTCGGTCCATGGATCCAATTCAATTAATTCATAAATTAATTTCTACTCCACTAAAAGAAATTAATTGAACTCCAATTAAAAATAAATAACCTCTAAGTCAATATTACACTTTGACCCCTCTATGCATAATTAGTTATCGGATAAATAAAGCCATCAATCCGACTACTTAATTAATATATTTATTTTGGTACCTTTGATTATTTCTGGCTCAATCACAATAAAACATTTGTTTGACAAAAATAATAATTTAAATAAATAAATATATAATAAATCATTTTGTCTAAAAACATACGAAGGCCTTCGAATTTACTTTGTGATCAACCATAATCAATACAAAATAAATACAAGTAGCAATGATACAAATCTTGAAAATATAACCCTCTAACTATTAATCACATAACTACCCAAAGTGTCGGTCTAAGGATCCCGAAGAATCCGCCGAACAAATCAAAGTAATTATTAATTAATAAAAAAGTCTATAATTTTCTCATGCTTAATAGTCAAATGCCATGACGGTGATAGGGAGCAATTGCATATGACGGCTCTCGCAATATATCTCAATCTAACGCGGATCCAGTTTAAGTCTTAATTAATTATGAGTCCATCCATAATTACCGACTATGAACAATTTATAATTACTATTTATATATCATGCATTGATTGCCATCACATACATATATATAAATATTTTTTGTAATTATAGGGACACTATCAATTTCATAGTGAATCGAAACATAATACATTGAATTCACCAATTATATAAATCATAAATATTTCAGATATGTCAGAAACATATGTCACTATAATCCAGATAGGAATTTGCTATGCCAGGGCATATAACTCCCAACAGCAATATGGGTCCAAGTTTTCCTTTATGACTACAAACACAAGTATCTTTGTGGGTATTAGACATTTCCCAATCGGGAATTTCAGGTGCAGCTCCAGAATGGTTGTGGAAGTGGGTGTCAGGTATTGATTCTATCAATCTCTCCAACAACCAAATAAATAGAGACATATTGAACGTGTTCCTAAACTCGAGTTTTGTTGATATTAGTTCTAATCGTTTCAAGGGTTCATTACCACGTTTGTCTCCAAATGTTAGATATTTGAACCTTGCAAACAATTCTTTCTTTGGACCCATTTCCTCATTCTTGTGCCAAGAGATGAATGGAGAAAGTATGTTGGAGGTTCTAGATGTATCAAATAATATACTATTAGGTCAACTTTCTCATTGCTTGATGCATTGGCAACATCTGACCCATGTGAACGTGGGAAGGAACTACCTATCTGGTAAAATTCCCAACTCATTGGGTTCGCTGGGGTTTCTCGAATCTTTGCAATTGTATGATAATAATTTCTTTAGAGAAATACCTTTATCATAGCGAAACTACACTTATTTAAGCCTCATTAATTTAGCTGGAAATGAATTTACCGGACTCATTCCGAGTTGGATTGGAGAAATTTTTGGCTTGAAGGTTCCCAGCTTAAGATCCAATAAATTTATCGGCAATATACCGTCACAAATATGCCAACTTTCTGGGCTTATAATCCTTGATCTTGGGAATAATAGCCTTTCCGGACCGATACCAAAATGTTTGAAGAATATCAGTGCGTTGACTAGCACAAATTCTGCATATCATCACAAATTGGAAATGGGAAGTGGTGTTGGTAATATTCCCATTGAAGGCTACATAGATATTTTCTCATTGGTGACAAAAGGGAGAGAATCAGAGTACAAGAATATCCTTGGACTTGTTACGAGCATAGATCTCTCACATAATAATTTATCTGGTTCAATCCCAGATGATTTTTCTAGTCTTGATGCATTGCGATTTTTAAACTTGTCTCATAATAAAATTACGGGAAAGATACCGGAGAACATTGGAGGCATGAAACTGTTAGAATCCCTTGATATCTTGAGAAACTATATTTTGGGTGAAATTCCTCAAAGCATGTCTAATTTGACATTTCTGAGTTACTTGAACTTGTCATACGACTTCTTAAATGGAAGAATTCCTACGGGCACCCAACTTTAGAGTTTTGATGCAACTAGCTACATTGGCAATGCTAAACTTTGTGGAGCCCCTCTCAACAACAATTGCACAAGAAGAGAAGAATCTCAAGGTCGAGGTGTGACGTCAATGGAGGAAGAGGAAGAAAAGCATGAAATGGTTTGGTTTTATATTGGTATGGGTCCAGGATTTGTGGTTGGATTTTGGATTGTTTGTGGTACTCTTCTCCTCAAAAGGACATGGAGGCATGCTTATTTTCAGCTTCTTGATGATATGAAAGACCGGATCTATGTGGCTATATTGATAAAGGTGAATTGGTTCCGCAACAAGTTCAAGAGATCTAATGAAACATGAAGAACATCATCATCTTCTACAAGGTTTTGCTTCCACATTTCTTTCCTTTTAATTTTTTATTTTTTCCTTCTTGTAGTTGCTACTCTGTTCATGCTCTTTATCTATTTACTAATATACTGTACACTTGGTAGTCTATTTTTGTAGTCATGCTAAAGTTTATTTGAATTATCACTTTAAATATAAATTAACTTATATTTGCTATGCAAAAACCCTTCTAACACAAATAGATGAAAACAACAATAACCAGGAAAAGGAAATAATTTTTTTTTGAAATATCCATTTAAACCAAACCCTCTTTGATTCAGGAAAACCAAAATCATTTTGACTACTGATCAAGCCTTTGGTTTTGAAAAAGAATACCACAGACTTTGGTTTTGAAAAAGTGGACTGGTTTAGTTCTAAGTTCCCTCAGAAAAACTAGGAAGTAATTTTGTTTCAAATGTAAAGATTGTGGTTGAACAAAAATCATATTTTATGTGTGTTGAATTGGACATTTGGTTAAATCTATTTTTTTGCAGATTGCTGATACAATGAATAATTCCCTGCTGGACATTTTGGATCAACCGGGAGCTAGATTTTGAATGTGGTTGTGGATCCGTTGTTGGTGTGATAATTTGGTTGCTTTGTTTGTTTGTCTTTCTTCTTTTCTTGGGCTATTTTATTTTATTTTTTTATTATTTTTTTTTTTTTTTTAATTTTTCCCTCTAGTAAGTGGTTTTCTTTTATGGTAATGTATTGAGGAGGGTATGCCTTCCTATCCAATTGTATTGTGTGGACTGGTTGTGTTATAAAATTTGGTTTGCTTAGGAAAAACGAGTGTGTGTGTGACTTCCAGGTTCAGAAAAGTAGAGTGAGAAGAACAAATGTGCGTAATGTGTGTGTGTGTGATTGTTGAAGAAAGTAGAGTGAGAAGAGGTCCGATTGTGAGAAAGCTCTGGAATTGCAGCCAAGAGTGATGGTGGGAAGTTCCGATTTGCTCCCGAGATAAAGGGACAGGTGAGAGTGTTGAGGGATTTTTTCTCTCGAGTTTCCTCCAGTTCCAGTATGAATTCCAAGGGATTTTTATCTGCCAAAAGCTTGTATTTCTGATGAGGTAAGTTCAGCACCATTTAATCCAAGCTATTTTTGCTCCACTTTTCTTCATCTTCGTACCTGACCAAAGAAATGATCTTTCTGATAGGTTCAGTGGATGTTTTACAATTGGAAGCATATAGATTCATTTATTTGTTTTCGGATTTTCCTTTATTTATTTATTTATTTTTTTGGGTTTTTGGTTGCATTTATAGTCATAGTAGAAAGGTTTAAATTTTTTATGTTATAAATAGTTAGAAATATGATTGGTTGGCAGTGTATATGAAAAAAATGACTCTCTCTCCCCATTTGCTTTTGACATCAAGTAAGAAATGCAAAACCTGGGTTAAAGTTTGATTTGTGCACAATAAATTGCTATGCAGATAGACACAAGATTTAGCTACGTGATCGTAGGCAACAAGCAAAGAGACATGAAAAGAATTGGAAGTCATGGTGGTTGTCTCTTCAAAGATCTGAAACAAGCTCTATGTGAACAAAGGTGAGTAGCACAATTTTAAACAAAGAAAAAGAAGAGCACACTTAAAAGTCACATTTATGAACACATTGACCAAGGAAATAATACACAGTAATCTATTCGCATTCATGCCTGAGTTCAACAAACAATAATACAATAATATATAAGAAATATATCTAACTCAGTTGCGCATGAAGTGATATCATGCTTTATCACGAGTCACATTCAAGCAATCTGAACCACTGCAGAGTTATGCTATGAGTTTGCTTTTATTTAATACCTTTCTCATTTGTTTTTGAACTTTATTGGAAATTTAATTATTGGATAACTAATTAACTCTCATTACCAAATAAAGCAATATGAGCTTACATCATTATGTAAAAACATTTTAAGAATTGGTTTAAGATTTGTGAAGTTGAACAAATTAATTAAGTTTTAACGATAATTATGTTGAAGTATACATAAATATTCTCTAATTGGTGACAAAAGGGAGGGAAATGAGAAGAACGGAAATATAGATATTCTTCCTTTCTTTTAATTATATCTTTTTCATATTCCGAAAAACCTATTTTTAGATTCTTTTCACCCAAAAATATTAAGGGTCATGCCACCATGCATGTCTCTCATTGCTTACCACCATAGTTACTAAAACCACCTATTACTTATGGATAAATAAAAATTGGTGTCAATTATATAACTTTACCCGTAACTAATTCATGTTCCACTCCAAAATAAAAAAAAAATCTATTTTAAATCATTTGACCCAAAACTTGTATTTTCTAATTCTATTTACCTAGAATTTAATGAACTGTATAATTCTACATATTTTACTAAAAGATTACATATATATTTAGATATGGAAAAGGAGATCTATTTTCTTGCTTAGAAAAAATATGATATTTGCAAAAATAAAAACTCAACTCTGCTAAATTTTTTTTTTTTTGTTTTGAAAGGTAAACGTTAATTGCATTAGAGTTACTATATAAGGCCCCAAACTCCGGCCCATGTGAGGAATGATGACGCATATACAAGGCACAATTCGTCCAAGCCCAATTCTAAGACAAACAGATAATACAAAAAAGTGGCCCAAGCCTAATCCATAGTACCAATTCTGCTACAAACAGATTTTTCTGACTTAAATTATTATAATAAAAAAAGGGTGTACCATTAAATATTATTTATACTATATTTGCATTTCCAACCAGCTTTTAGACCTATATAAATCTGGTTTTTTTCTTTAAATTTATCTGCTAGATATATATATATATATTTGAAAATTATATTTTGCATTCATTTCGTTAGTTTTTATTAATTTTCATTTTATACAAATTTGTTAAAGAGACACTACGAGAAATAATGCTTAATTTTTTTTATTATTTTTATTATTATTATTATTATTATTATTATTATTTTTTACATATATAATATTTATGCCTACATGTTTTTCTTCTTAATTTTTTTTAATATTTTAAAATAATTTTTTTTCTATAAAAAAAAATGTATTCCTTCTACGTGATTAATGTGAATTTAATAGTCTAGTAAAATGTTAACATATTAAAAAATAATAATAAAAGTGTTAATTTATATGAATGATGTCGTTAGATTATTTAATATAAAAAAATCAAGACGCACTTATAAAGTAAATTTTCAAATAAACTTAATGGGTATTTAAGTCAATTTTTATTTCAGTTCCCTTTTATTTAACGTCGGTTTGCTAAGTCACCCCCTTGGATAATTGAAGGGGGTTTTTTGACAAAAAAGTTAAAGAAAATGGATTTAATGGAAAAGGCAAATAGAAAAGGAGGGTGTAATGTAGTTCACCCTAAAAAAAAAAAAAAAAATAGTTGAATGTAGTTAGCTGTATCTTCCTAACTTTATTATTATTATTATTATTATTATTATTATTATTATTATTTATGCTAATGTTAGTGTTGTAAGTCAAGTATTCAAAGTCTGGTGATCATTCTCAGCCTCCAAAAGAGGAAAATGACACTACTCAACAGGGCAGAGCCAAAAATTTTGATTTAGGGGCGAACTAAAAAAATAAAAGTGACTACAGTGCATAAGACTCCCATTATTATAGAATAGGGACAAATTAATACTATGTAATTAAAAATTTACTAATCAATATCGTAATATATTTCCTAATCAATAGTAATATAAGTATAATATTGTATTAAAAAAAAAAAAAAAAACTATACTATTTAAGTTGTATCTTCTCATTTTTTGGATTGTATTTTGCTCAATACATTTACTAATAAGAATAATAATTGTAATATATATATATATATATATATATATATATATATATATATTACAATATTATTGATCATCGATGGTTTAGCTGGGACCAACCGAAAAAAAAAAAAAAGGGCAATTAGTCTGGTCAAGTTAGCCATTCCAATCGTTGAAATGGGCTCTCGCTTACTCTTTTCAAGATTTTCTTTATTCAAAAGTTGGCTATTCCAAGCTTTAAAAAGGTTGGCTCTGCCTTCAAAAGTACCCATGTATATAACACACGCATATAAGCAAAAAAACACGTGATCAAATGATTTTTTTTACTTCTAAATTTTTTTTTAAGTGTTATCTTATTTTAGTATTTAGCTTCATATTCTATTTTTTTTCTTAAGTTTTTAGAGATAGTCCCAAAATAGGATTATTTTTAGAATACAATGGCGGATTTACACAGATAGATAATATTTCAATTTTCTCTTCAACTTTTGAATGCCAATTGTAGAACATAATTCTCCATTTAGCTTCTCTTTCATCAATAATACTGAACAATTCAACAATTCACTCACGAGATTTTTTATATTTATATTACAATCAAATAAAACATATTAGGATAACTTACACATATAAAAAAATACTAGGCAAAATTGTATAATAAAATTATCAAAGGATAAAATAATATTCGTAAATCACAAAAACAAAAGAAAAAAAAAAAAAATGAATGTAAATGCTGCTAGACAATTGGGCCAGATCCATGTCCAGTAAGAAAAAAAAGCTAAATGAGTCCAAGGTCAAACTGGCCAGCCCAATAGAAATGCTTGTTCATAATCAGTTCACTAATATAGTTTTTTCTTGCTAGGAATAAAAACAATGCCCAATGTATTATCATTTTAAACGAATCATATAGGAAAAGTATAAATTTTAAGCCTAAATAATAGAATAATATATAAGAAATATGCATTGAGTTGGCTTTTGTTTAATACCTTTCTCATTTGTTTTTAGGAATTTAATTATTGGATAACTAATTAAGACTCATTACCAAATAAAGCAATATGAGCTTACATCATTATGTAAAAACATTTTAAGAATTAGATTAAGATTTGTGAAGTTGAGCGAAAGATTTGTGAAGTTGAGCAAATTAATTTTCAACGATAATTATGGTGAAGTATACATAAATATTCTCTAATTGGTGACAAAATGGAGGGAAAGGGGAAGAACGGAAAAATAGATATTCTTCCTTTCTTTTAATAATATCTTTTTCATATTCTGAAGAACCTATTTTAGATTCTTTTCACCCAAATATTAAGGGTCATGCCACCATGTCTCTCAATGCTTATGGTTACTAAAACCACCTATTATATATGGATAAATTGGTGTCAATTATATAACTTTACCCGTAAATTGGTGTCCAAAATAAAAAAATCCATTTTAAATCATTTGACCCAAAACTTGTATTTTCTAATTCTATTTACCTAGAATTTAATGAACCGTATAATTTTTCATATTTTACTAAAAGATTACATATATACTTAAGATATGGAAAATAAGATCTATTTTCTTGCTTTGAAAAAATATGATATTTGCAAAAATAAAAACTCAACTCTTCAAATTTTTTTTTTTTTGAAAGGTAAATGTTAATTGCATTAGAGTATCTGTATAAGGCCCCAAACTCCGGCCCATGTGAGGAATGGTGACGCATATACAAGGCACAATTTGTCCAAGCCCAATATTAAGACAAACAAATTATACAAACAAGTGGCCCATGCCTAATCCATAGTACCAATTCTGCTACAAACAGATTTTTCTGACTTAAATTATTATAATAAAAAAACGGGTGTACCTTAAGTTACACAACCCTTCCCAATAGGTGTCGCTCTTATAGTCTGAACACGTTCCCGCTCTCATACTCCGTGCGAGTTCTGATTCAAATTCTCACTATTTATGGCTTAATTCTGTCGCTAACTTATGGTGTACCATTAATTATTATTTATAGTATATTTGCATTTCCAACCAGCTTTTAGACCTATATAAATTTGATTTTTTTCTTTAAATTTATCTGCTATATATATATATATATATATATATATATATTTGAAAATTATATTGTGCATTCATTTCATTGGTTTTTATTGATTTTTATTTTATACAGATTTGTTAAAGAGACACTACGAGAAATAATGCCTAAAATTTGAAAATTATATTGTGCATTCATTTCATTGGTTTTTATTGATTTTCATTTTATACAGATTTGTTAAAGAGACACTACGAGAAATAATGCCTAAAATTTATATATATATATATATATATTATTTATGCCTACATGTTTTTCTTCTTATTTTTTTAATATTTTAAAATAGTTTTTTTCTATAAAAAAAAAAAAAAAATTCCTTCTACGTGATTAATGTGAACTTGACAGTCTAGTAAAATGTTAACATATTAAAAAAATAATAGAAGTCTTAATTTATATGAATGATGTCGTTAGATTATTTAATAAAAAAGAAATCAAGAGGCACCTACAAAATAGATTTTCAAATAAGCGTAGTGGATATTTAAGTCAATTTCTATTTCAATTGCTTTTCATCAAACGTCTGTTTGCTAAGTTACCTTCTTAGATAGTTGAAGGGGGTTTTTTTAGCAAAAAAAATTAGAAAAAAGGGATTTAATGGAAAAGACATAGAAAAGAAGAGTTTAATGTAGTTCACCCTCAAATAAAATAAATAAATAAATAAGTTGAATATAGTTACTTGTATCTTCCTAACTTTTTTATTTTTATGCTAATGTTAGTGTTGTAAGTCAATCTTCAAAGTCATGTGATCATTGTCAGCCTCCAAAATAGAAAATGACACTCCTCAGCAGGGCAGAGCCATAAATATTGATTTGGGGGGCGAACTAAAAAACATAAAAGTGACAATAGCGCAAGAGACTCCCAAAATTATAGAATATGGGAAAATTAGTACTTCGTAATTAAAAATTTACTAATCAATATCGTAATATATTTACTAATCAATCGTAATATAAGTATAATATTGTATATAAAAAATAAAAACTATACTATTTAAGTTATTTCTTCTCATTTTTTGGATTGTATTTTGCTCAATATATTTACTAATAAGAATAATATTGTAATATATATATACAGGGGCGGAATCATGTGTGGGCTAACCTGGGCTATAGCCCAAGTCTAAAAAAAAATAAAAAAAATTAGTACTACTATTTTTTATCTGCCATAGCCCAACCCAATCAGCCATAACCCAACCCAAGCTGCCCAATTCATAATAAATATAAATGATAAATAGAGTTTAGCCCAAAAACTGAGCCCAACCAAGGCCAAACCCATTAGGTTGGACCAACCATTATAGACCAACACATGGGCGAATTGTAAATTGAAACAAAGACATACTTTAGGAACCCATTTCTAGATTCCTCTAAATGTAAAGATATTATAGCCCATTTGTCTCCTTCCCAATTCATTCTCTTTGACACACACTTATCAATGAACTCAAAAACTGTTTTGAGTTTCTTTCATTTTGCTTTTGATTCTTATGGGTTAGATTCACTATTAGATCTTATTGCGTTTTCATTCATTTGCTTATTAGTTCAAAACTTAATGATGTCGCTCTTACTTTTGATTCGGTTAATTGATTTGAAGCTTTCTGTTTTGTTTAATGACACCAAAAATAGGCATCTTGAGATAGCCATTGCATTGGTGAATTTGAATACGGTGTCCGAGCCTGTTCTTAGCGGACATTTGATTTATTGATAAATGTCTATTGTACTCAATTCAAATTCACCAGTGCAGACTCGGACATCGTATTGATTCTGGTGTTTTACATCAAACCTGAGTCATTAACTCAAATTAGTTGTAATTAGGGATTTTTCATATGCTGACTCGATTTATCATTATTTAAATGTTCATGGATATTGTTGTTGTTATTATTATTATCTTTTCTTTTTGAATTTTTTTTTTCCCAATAAATCCTCTGCTTTAAATTTTTTTTTAGCCCTCCCTACTTTCAGAATCTAGCTTCGCCCTATATATATATATATATATATATATATATAGAGATCAAAAATATATATATATAAATAGGGAAAGAAAGTGTGAAATTAATATGGTGAAGTTAGCCATTCCAATCTTTAAAAAGGTTGGCTCCGGCTTACTCTTTTCAAGATTTTTTTTATTCAAAGGTTGGCTATTCCAAGCTTTGAAAAGGTTGGCTCTGCCTTCAAAAGTACCTATGCATATAACTATATATATATATACAGGCACACAGGTATAAGCAAAAAACACGT